GTGTGTGTGTACACACACACACACACACACACACACACACGTACATACAGGTCTCTATAAGTACTGTACTCATTTCTTTCTCTCTTTTCCTAATGCACATTCCTTTGCTTGTTGATATGTACGTACACATTGAGAGCTGCTGTACCAGAGTCAAATTCCTCGTGTGTCCAAACCACCTGGCCAATAAGGCCGATTCTGAAAAACCTACTCCCTGGTTGACATGAATACAACCAGTACACATATGTGAAATGGTTTAATTCAAGGTACCAACAGTCAAAAAGTCAACACTTTTGGCACTGCTTTAGAGAAAAGAAATTACTAGACTTTTCTCTAAAATTGTACTGCTGTTACAATATGTGGTAACGCCAAAGATCGTTTTCCACAAATAAAGTTCCTAATCGTACCCAACTCAAAAATGCAGTTTTAAGTTATGTTTAGATCCAGCTGGTGAGAATGAGAGGAGTAATGTGAAATGTTCTTCCTGAACATATCCTGCATTTTGCAGGAGAGACAAACTGCTTCCCCCAGTCAAACAGTCAAAACAGGAATGTCTACAGACAAACCTCCTATGCAAAGAAAGGCATTTACTAACAGAAGAATATTGCACAGGGTACTGTCATATGCTGTCGTGCGTTAGGACGTCAATAATTTCGTATTCATATAAGGAATACGGGGAACTGCTGCTTGTATCTATTTTAGGATTGAAAACTGAATATTTTTGGTTGTTGAACAACACAAGCAACTCGAATAATTATTAGACTCTGGAAAAGGGTCACAAGAAACTGTCACTGGTGTGATAGCTTTATACCAAACAACTGAGAAAGCAATCGACAATAAAAACATACTAAAAATAATCATTAGCTGCAGCCCTACATGACCTGACAGAGCATAGCATAAGAAGCTGGCCTATTTTATAACGTTAATTTATTAGCCTATGACATTATCCCTACAGATACTGATGGAATATGCGACTGACAGCTGATACACCATTACTGGCCGTTTTCTTTCACTTATTTTTTCCATTTATTATATCCACACTTAGGGAAAACAGCAGCTAAAGTCATGTCCAACTGCTGCTGACTGACACATTAGCTAACTAGCCTTCAACTAGCTCGCTGTTGTCACTCATTCAGGCAGGGCCCGGCGCCTTAACCTATAATTCTTGGTGTTTTTTTTGGAAGCTCAAAATTCAAGGTTGAGAACTTAACACACGTTTTCATGATAAGATCTGTGTATGGTCTCGGTTTGTCAGGGTAATCTAAGCTAGCCGCAGCTAGCCGGGCTGGTTTCCCACCGTCTCCGCTCCCGGCCGGCTGGGCCTGCCCGCCCATCACTCCTCTGAAGAAGTTCATTTTCACAGATGTCCTTTCGGTGCCGTATTCAATGCGTAACCCCTTATAGAGACCTCTGGCTCCCCTCTTCGTCGTCCGCGTAAGAAATATGCGAAAAGAATTAAGTAAGGTACACAATGCTAATTTTTAACACTGTGTACGCTCCCCGACCGACTCCGGAACAACGAGGTGCGTGCACTGCGCCTGCGCGCAGACGTGGCGATACGTGGCTGACCAGCAGTCAGTGTAGTCAGTTATCTAAAGGGCAAGAAAATTCATGACTGTGTGAAAGGTAATGTAACAGTCATTATAATTTATGAATGATAATACAAAATCAGCAGTGAATTAGCATTCATATTTACTAATGTTAAAGTTGTAAGCTAATATGACAATGCAAATACAAGTAAACTTTCTGCAAGAAACTGTTGCTGCTAAAAGAAAACATGAGAATCTTCCATGTCAGATTGTTCCTGTCACTGATGACTGAAGGGAATGAGCACTACTCCATCTCCAACATCTGTCAATGAACCCGGACAGGACACATAACGGAACCCTTCTCGTGCACCTAAAATATACTACTACTACGTACTGAACAAATAAAAAAATATTTACATAAAGCTTTTAAGTATTTGTTAAAATTTCCACTTGCTCATTATGAATAAGAGCATCCTAACTACTATGATTAGCATTTGTTAAATGGTGCTACCTGAAACTCCATAAAAAGGACTGAAAACCCTCTACTGTCACCAGTCTCACTTGTATATTACCAATAGACATATAGATTTCCTGAAAGCTCACAGCCACAAACAACAAAAAAAAAATTCAAGGCTTTGCTAAGTGAAACTGGAGTTTTTTTTCCCTCCAAATATCTCTTAATGGTTTCTTTAACCTCTAGAGTCCCTGCGTCCTCATATGAGGACCGCACAGCTTGGGTTTCCAAAGCTCAGGACTCTAGAGGTTAAGATAGAGAGAAGTGAAATAAATCCTTAAGACTTTTCAAGACCCACAGATACCCTAATTTTGAGGGTGTTTCAGAAAATTTGTCAAAAAAAAAAAAAAAAAAAAAAAAAAAAAAAACAAAAGCCGG